CCCCAGGTCCCCTTGCTGACAAAAGGCCTATCTTCTCTCTGCCTAAATGATTTAAATTCTAATCAAACATCATTTATAGTACATCTCGGAGCCGTCTCCTGGGAGCTGCTCCCACATGAGATGTTGCCATGGCAACCGGGGGGTCTTGTTTCAGAAATGTCAGATTGTATTATTGTCTTCACACTTCTCTGATAACCTGGTGTCTCTCTCTCTCTTTCCCCCGCTCACACCACCAGCCCCAGGATTTTATACCTCCTCTTTCTCTCTCCCTCTCTCTCCCTGCCATGCCGGCCCCTTGGCTTTCCCAGGACACCCGCAGCTTCCAACCCCAGGGCGAAAGAGGCCTGATGATTTCCTCCCCACCTCTCCTTCCTGGCCCGGGGCCTCCCCCGCTGGGAAAGGGGTCTCCCCTACCGCCCTTCATCTTGCACAGACGCACGGCCCCCTCTAGGGGCTTGCTGGAGGGCTCTGGTGTCATTTTATTTTGCTAGATATGAAAATGAGACATAGATTTTTCCCGGCGATGCGTGTGTGAAGTTCTAATCTGGCTTTTCAGGATTCTTTTTTTTTTTTTTCTTTTGGGGGCAGGGAGGGGGAGTGGCAGGAGAAACCGAGCCCCTGACGGATGCAGAAGGAGAGGCATGTCGGGGCGTGTGCGCGGGAGACGGCTGTGTGTTCCCGTGTGTGCACCTGCCTGCTATGCGTGTATGTGCCTGGTCACGTGCGTCTGGCCCCTGCCCTAGTCCTCCCTGGCTCTGGGGACACAATGGCCACATCCATGCTGGAGCCCACATCAGCCCCTGCCAGGCCGCGGGGAGACTGGCCCACTGTCAATATCAGAGCAGAAGCCACAGCGGCCCAGAGGGTGCTTTGAGGTCTTTGCCACTGCCCAGCTGGGATCTCACAGAGCGCTATTTATGTGGATTACATCATTTAATCCCCCAGGGGAGATTTTATTGTTATCCTCACCTTACAGATGGGGAAACTGAGGCTCAGGCAGGCAACATGAAGGAGAAGGAGCCACGTAAATGGCAGAGGTAGTTACAGAAATGAAGCTCCCTGCTCCCCTTTCTCCACTCTGTGCCAGACCTCCCAGCAAAGAAGGCGCAGGCGGGACCTTCCAACGCCCCTCTGCGTGGCACCCCTGCCGTGGGACCCTGAGACACAGTGTGTGGCTGCACAGCCCAGGGCTGTCGGGATGGGGGTCCTGGAGACTCTCAGTGACTTCTCAGCAGGGGACCTGACATTTACAGTGTCCTCGGACCTCAAAAAAGTATGTTCCGGGTCCTCACAGAGACCCGGACAGACACGGGACCTCCAGCTCGCCGGGGCTCTCGCTGAGTCTGCGTCTCCCAACGTGTCCTATGACCTATGACCTATGACCTATGACCGTTTCCCAGAACATGGACTCCAGAGAGACAGACAGGGAGAGACCCAGGCCCCGCCCATCGGAGCCGCCCGCGCGTGTTTGTCCAGGCCGGGCATTGATCGCGCTGCCTGTCTGCGCCACCTCTGATAAATCCTGGCCTCGGTAATGAACCTCCCTGCACACGTTCGCAAAGCACACACCAGCCCTGGCCCCAGCGGTTAATATTTAACTGAATAAGGGCCATAAATATGGAAAATGGGACTTTTAATTAAATAAGCAGCTTTTAAAAGGGCCCTTGGGCGGGAGAGGCTTTTGTTTAAATATGATTGATTTGACATGTCCTTCCACTCTCCCGAGCTGCCTCCTGACGTTAACTCTTGGCCCTTGGCCCCAGGAGCAAGTTGGCGAGGCCAGGCCCATCCTGCTGGGGAAGCAGGCCAGTGGGAAGCAGGGGTCCCATGGGGTGTGAGTTCCTCTGCAGCTGGGTTAACCCCTCGGGCACTGCTGGAGTCTCACCTTTTGAAGGTCAGGCCAGCAGGGAGGTCCCCCAGATCTCAGGGTGCAGGGGCCCCTGTGGGGGCTGAACCACCATTGTCTGTCCTCTGTGCCTCAGTTTCCACATCCGTAACATGGGAACAATCGGGCTGGGTGTGTCCCAATATGAGGGGGACGACAGCATGCTGTTCCCTTTCCTGGCGTCACCAGGAACATGACCAGGAGGTCAGGAGGGGGCCCAGGAGGGCCCAGGGCTGCATTCAGAGTGGACCCCATACCCCCCACTGGCACTGGGCCCCACAAGTTCTCAGAGTTCTGCCCAGACCCGTCACAGGCGGCAGTGACTCACCCAGCAGCTCAAAACCCTCCACTGCCGTCTGGAAGGAGAATTTGGCAGTCAACCCCGCCTGTCTCCAGCCTCTGAGCAGGTGGCCTTTAACTTCTAAAACTTTCCAAAAAGAGAAACCAACTCCAGTCTATTTTGAAGTCACTCTGTAGAAAGCACGTTCTACCGGGCAGATTCCGTGCACGCCTGGCCTCAGAGCCCTCCAGTCCTCTGCCTTCCTGGGTGAAGGAGCCCATCCCTGAGGGGCCAAACCATAGGCTCGGAGCTGCCCCACCAGGGAGCAGTGCAGTGGGGATTGGGATCCAGGCTGCTGTGTCCCCAGTGCATATCCTGGGCCCCATGGCATCCTGGTCTGGTCCAGACTTGGCTCCTGTGAGCAGGCATAGAAGCCACCACCTCTCTGAACAGTTAGGACATCTTTTATTACCGGAGGCCAAGCCCAGTGGGGTCGCACAGCTGCCCAGTTTATCAACACACCTCCCACCCTGCCTGCAGGCCAGCTCTTCCCCGGGAGGCCCAGGTGCGATTCCTTCCCTCGCTCCTCCTGTCAGTCCTTGCCTGCGCTTTTCGTTGCTGTCTCCTGGGGTCATCCACCCATCCACCCATCCACTCACATAGTCGAGAACCAGTTCCTGATGACCTTATTCTATTTCCCCAACTGTAAGATCAAACATTTTTTTTTCTTTTCAGCATTTTGAAACTGGATTATATTTCCTATCCACACCCATTTTTATTGGCTAGAAATGCATCCTTAAACAGAGGATTACCCCTCCAGCCAATCCTACCTTCAGACTGGAAGGAGAGTTTGTACCTCGCCCGTGCCACCAGGAGTGGGAGGAAATTGAGGGATCTCAGGCAGACCTGGCTGCTGCTCCCCGGAGCTCACTGCCGACTGCAGATTATACCTTAAAAAGCACCCTTCTTTCTAATTCCCCAAACACCCCGTTCTGACACATTCACTCTTTTACAGTTTTAGTGCACCCTCCCATTTCTTGTGTCTCTGTGCCCAGAAGGCGATTTTATGAAGGGAAGAGGTCAAGGGAACTGAGCCCTTACACTCTCCCAGGGACTGTTCTAAGAGGTATCGTGCACTCTCTCATTTCACCCTCGCCACAAGCCAATAAGTTGCGTGCCAGTGCCATCCCTCCTGGTTTGCAGATGAGAAAAACAAGGCCCAGAGAGGGTAAGAAACTGGCTCAAATCCACAAAGTCAGTGAGTGGTGCAGCCAGAGCCTCCCAAAAGGGGCTACCCTCAAAGGCACACACAGAGGAGCTGGAGGGGCCAGGGAGCTCCGCTGGGAGGCCCTCTAGAGAAATAGTGTCCCTGTCACAGTCACAGCTACTAAAATCTTTGCTTTTGGAGTGGCCAGTGGCAGCTCCAGGGACAGTTCACAGCTCGTGCCCCCTTCTCCCGGAAGCTGTGGGCTGGGCACAGGTCAGGGAGATTCCCCCCTCCCCCATCATCACAGCCATTGCCATGGCAACCCTTCCCAGGCATCCCCCAGTTTTGGGTCGGTTTCCTGAGCTCAGCGCTGGGAGCCAGGCAGGGCTGAAGCTGGTGCTGCATTGGGCTGGAGACGGCAGGCAGAGGTACTGAATTCCAGGCACAGAGGAGGGCACTGCGCCTGGCAGAGGTCCCTGAACCCCTGGCTTGTGAGCCCAGAGTAACTTGGGACAAAACTGAGGCCTGCAGATGTTTGAAAAGAAACCTCAGCCTGAGACTGTCTTTCCCATGCCCCTCCAGTGTTCCTCAGGGAGTCCTACACCTTCCACATGCCCAGGCCGGCCAGCTCCCCCTCCTGCCAGCACCTGGCACCAGCCACCTTCCTCTCTCCCCTGGGCAACTGCAGACCCTCTTCACTCGGAAGTCAGGGAGACTCCGCCAGCCGAGGCCTCTGCCTGCCCTGCCCGGCTCTGTCCCTTCTCCAGGCAGCCACCTCGGCCCATGCTGTGAGCAACAGGACCCCATCAAGCCCAGGAGACACTGGAAACCAGGGCGGCAGGGAGCAAAGGCCAGGGCAGTTCAACTCCTTTCGGTGTCAGAGAAGATTATGAGTCCGGCTCTCAGGGCTGAGGGCTGGGGCCCAAGTCAGCCCGTGATCCCAAGTGAGCGGAGGTCAGAGGTCACCAGCTGGCGCCTTTGTGTGTCAATATTAGCACGAGAGCCACCTAATTGGGGTGGGTCAGCCAGTGGGCCCAGCCAGGGCTCCGCAGAAGAGAGAGGCTGGATGGGCCCCCACCACTTGCCACAGTCAGCTCACACCTTCCGTAGATGGCTACTGAGCACCTGAAGGCGGAGGGAGCATCGGCCGGGTTTAGATGCTGCTCTTGTCATTAAACAGCGGCTGCCCTGCAGCCTCCCTGTGAGTCTGACTCCTCGCGGCCTCATCCTACTGCCAAGCAAACTGGGCACAAGACAGCAAGCAAGGCTCAGCCCATCTGTCCCCTCCCTGTGCCAGGACCACAGAAGACTGTCTGCATTGAATTCGGGAGAAAAACGAGGCTCAGAGTGGGACGACGCTTGTCCAAAGCCACACGGCTATCGGACGCGGGTATGTCCATCCCGGGGTCCACAACAGCCCAGCATCTCCATATTTTTAAACTTGTCCTGCCCAGGCTTCTTCTTAGGCCCCTTCTCTGCCTGGGGGCCACTGCTGCTTCCTTCCTGCACCCAGGAGACAGGGAGCTTCCCCTGGCTGCCCGACACAGACCTCCATCCGTGTGCTCAGGCTGACCGCCAAGACTGGCTCCGCTTCTCCCCCGCTGTGGGGTGGAGTGAAGCTGGAACGATCGCCTCTGGGGACTTCAGCGGAGCCACCATGCACCCTGACGCTGTGATCGGAAACCAGCCCGACAGCAGCGGGGGCCGCCAGGCACAGGGACACCGGGTGACAGGAGCCCGGCCCTGCTCTGCCCGCCCGGACCTCACATTCCAGGGTGGGAGCCCTATGGTGCCTGGAATGACACAGTCTGTGATGAGAGCCAGCAAGGGCAGGACAACTTCCGGGAGCATCTCTGTCAACAAGGGTGGAGGAGCAGCCCTGGCAAAGGACCCTTCCTGACTGAGGCGGAGATAGGGAGGCGGCAGAGAGGGGAGGGAGCGCCACTTGCAAAGGCCTGACAGGCTTCTGCCCATTGAGTCTGTGCTGCCGGGATGTGACGATGTGACTGGCTCCGTTTTACAAGGGAGAAAACTGAGGTTTGAGACTTGAAAGGCCCTTGGGTGGGCGGGGAGGGAGTGGCAGAGCCTGTAGGATGTTATACCTTGGACACTGGTGCCTGACATTGGCATCTGGTGCCCGTGGGAAGAAGGGTGTCCCCTGGGAGAAAATGCAAATGGGCCTGAGGTGTGTGTTCTACAGTAGGGCTTTATAGGTGGCTGCAGGAGAAACTCAACTCACAATGAATTAAACAAAAAGAAATGTATTACCTGAAGCAATGCGAATCCAAGAATGGATGGCTTCAGGTGCAGCTGGATCCAGGGGCTGAAATGTGTGTGTGTGTGTCTCTCTCTCTCTCTTCTCCAGGTTCTGCTTCTTAGGTATAGACCTGATTATTAGACCCTGCATGATTGTTCCTGTAGGCCTCTGAGGTCCTCTTCCTCACTCCTCTCCACCAATCCCACCAGCTTGGCCATGTGCCCATCCTAGAACTAATGAGAGGTTGGAATACTTTGTCAGAGAATGGTGATGAATGTATAAGAAGAGACTGTGGAAAAGGAAAAAAGAGACCCACAGCTGGATCCCCCAAGAGTCCCTAGATGGAAAAAGCCTTCCTCCCCTTTAAGAGTGAGAGCAGATTTTCCTTCCATGGGAGACCCTAGCCTCAGACCTTCATAGCATCATTTACAGTCAGGCTTGTGGTGGAATTGCCTGCCCTTCCGTCATCCTAGCATGGCCTCCACTTCTGAGAGCCGCCAATCTGCCCTCCCTCTGCACGGCTCTGTGGCACTTGTGATTTTTCTTTTAGCTGTTGAGGCCAGTTTATGGAGTGGGATATACACTACTTATAGCCTGTATTATCACACTTTGGATCCGAAGATCCCTTAGAGGTGGATGTATCCACTCATGGTAAATAAATGAAATGAATCTACCTTAGATATGAATCACTGGTTCTGCTATGTCCTCTATGAGAATTAGAGTCGTCAGAGTAGCTGTGCATGGTGCCACACACTTGCAACGCTGGAACTCGAGAGGCTGAGGCAGGAGGGTCACCAGAGGTCCAAGGCCAGCCTGGGCCACACAGTTCAAGGCCAGATGAACTACCTAGCAAGACCTTGTCTCATAAACAACAAAACCAGAGTCATCAGAGTATCTGGGTGGGACCGCAAAACAGAGACAAGGAGACATTCCATCTCCAGCCCCTTCAGAAAAATACTCCGACTGCTTGCTCTCCAGGGTGTCACGGTGATCACTTTTTCTGAAGCACTGTTTTGGTCTGCTTTGTGTGGCTATAAGGAATGCCCAAGGCTGTGTGGCTTTGTAAAGAAAAGAGATTCCCTGAGCTCCTTCCCCTGGAGGTCCACCTACCGAGCTCCGGTGAGGCCTCCTGCTGGGTGGTGATACACAGCAGGAGCGTCAGCCCAGGGCCTAGGGAGGTGCCAGGCTTTCTAGCTACTCTACCGAACCACCACCTGCCAGATCCCACCTCTGAAAAGTCTCATCCCGCCCCTAACATGGGCCCACTGGGGAGCAAGCCCAACATGAGCTGAGGGAGTGCAACCCGTATCAGGCACCTGCTCTGTTCCAAGTCCTCGCACACAATGCCAGCGAACCTCCCCGCAGCCCCATGTGGGGCTCTCACTGTGCGTGTGGAAAAGATGCGGAAATGAGGGGTGGACAGGCGAGGCAACGTGCCGACCTGGGATTTGAACTCCGGTCTGTCCCTACAAACACGCGACCGGTCTCATAACCAGGACCTTCTACCTCCGCTCAGAATGTCGGGGTTGTCCATGGCCGGCTTTCCTGAGTGGTCAATGCTCAATTGGCTTCCAGGGTTTTGTTTTGTTTTTGTTTTTTTCCAGCACTGGGGATTGAACCTAGGGCTTGATGCGATCTAGGCAAGCACTCCAGCACTGAGTGACACCCCCAGACCTTTTAAATGTTTTATTTTGAGGCAGGTTTCTGTTAGATCTCCCAAAGTGGCCTCTGACTTGCAATCCTCCTGGCTCAGCCTAGTGAGTAGCTGGAATTGCAGACATGCAATCCAGATTTTCAGCAAGGCCAGGTGAATACTTGCACAGCTCCAAGATCACAATCTTCCTTGGAGTTCGTGCCTTACGAGCCTCGTCCGTCTCCCCTGCTCGGGCCCTCTCTCCGGGCATCACAGACAGTAGTTGATTCACCTGGTCCTCAGCAAGTCAGATGCCTCAGCTAGAGACTGGCCACGCTTCCTACAACCCTCCTTCCGGGGCGCTGGCGAGGCAGGTAGCGCGGAGGGTGCTGGTCCGAGCCAACGGAACCTAAAGCTCATCGCGGGTCCCCACACGATGACGGGTCAGCTCCTCCTGCTTTCGGCCTTTCCACAAGGGTCAGCAGGGGGTGGGGATCATCTAGCAGCAGGAGGGTGGAGCAGAGCAGAGGACACTTTAAGGGCCCGGCATTGTCTGACATTTGGGTTTTACTCTCTGTGGGAAGTGCGCTAATTACTCCCGTTCACCCTGAGGTCCAGCGTAACGGCCACTTGGATTTTATGGAGTGCTGTGGGGCTGCCATTTCTGTGTGACTCCTCCAGACCGCAGTGGCAGAGAGTAGGCCCGCCTCCTCCCGGGCTCCGGCACAGCTCTGCCCCCCGCCAGCCCCCTGAAGGGAGGCACAGCGCATCATTCCCATTGGGCAGATGGGAAAGTCGAGGTGGGTTCCGAGGGGGAAGCGGGTGGCCTGCTCCCCCAGCGGGGACCGGAACGCTGGCCTTTTCCACTTCGATTTCCGTTTCTCTGGGGGCAGATACAGGCATGGGTTCAAGCAAGAAGAAATCATCCAGTCGTCCCCCCATGCATTTCATGGATGAGGAAAAGTTGCATTAACAACTGCTTGTTGGCAAATGAATAAACGAAGGGATGGGTCGCGCGTGAAGGGGTCCATGACGCCTGCCTCACCCCAGGTTGCCTGTGAGGTTGCTCAGCCTGTGTTTTACTCCTCGGCAGACGGCTGCAGTGGCCTTGGTCTCAGAGAGTCCTAAGGTGTCCTTGGCCACAGGGGACACAAAGACAGTCATTCCGCGTGTGAGGGCATCATTAACAGGAGGCAGCGCCCGCTCCTTGGAGAGGTCTGCACCAGGTACTTTTTTCATCTTTCTGAGGACCCTGGAAGGTGGGCGTTATCACCCATTGTGCAGATGAGGAAACGGAGGCTCAGAGAGGCTAAATCTCCCGTCTGAAGCCACACGAGGAATGGGTGATACAGAATCCAAACCCAAGCCCCAAACCGTGTGCCCTGGACCAGGGAGGGTCCTCCTCTCTCCAGCAAGAGGACGGAAGAGGAGGGACTGTGGGCCGGCGGAGGCCTCTGCTCTGGTGGCGGAGGCCTCTGCTCTGGAATTTGCGGTGCCCTGATGGGCCTCGGCCAAAGCAAAGTCCATCCAAGCCAGAAGTTTCTCTGAGGACCCCCCCACCCCCTCCTGAGAGGGGATTGAATCCCGGCTCAGCCCCTTTTGTGTGCATCTGGAAAGCGGATGTCCTGCCCCTGTGGGGGCTCCGGCTTCCGCCCCACCCCCGGCCTCCCCCGGAATTCCACCGGCTTTCAGTGGCCCACCAGGTCTTCCAGACAGCTGACATTTTACACGGGCCCGCGGTTTCCCCTCTGGTCAGCACCGGGCAGTGATAACAGGATTAACCCTGTGGCGGCAGATCACTTAATTAAACTTTGGGAGGAAGAACGCTGCCTCCTCTCGTCAGGGCAGCTCAGAGGAGGGTAGAGGGGGCTCTCAGGGGCCAGGCGGAGCCATTGTGCCCCCTGCAGTCAGTTCTGGGGCAGCCCAAGGCCAAGGGAATCCTTTCGGCTTCCCCGTCCCTTATATCCAGGAAGGTGACTGAGGTCATGGCACTGCTTGTTTCTGTGGATACAGAAAGGCAGCATCTACAGCCTCTCCCGTAGAAGGTGGAGCCTAAAACCCCTCCCACAGAAGGTGGAGCCCCAGCCCCTCCCATAGGGCGGGACCTAAAGCCCCTCCCACAGAAGGTGGAGCCCACGGCCCCTCCCACAGAGGCTTGGAGTCGTCTCTTACCCCTTGAGTCTGCGCTGGCCCCTGGCTTGCTTTGGTCAGTGGAACTTCGCAGAAGTGCCCCGTGCTAATTAAATTCGGGCCTCCAGAGACTCTCACCTTGAGAGTGATTCTCAGAGGGTCTGCTTTAGGATGAGCAACCATGTGGAGAGGAGCCAAGGCTTCTGGCAGTGGCCATTATAGACCGCTGGTCTCCAGCTACCTTCAGACGTGGGAGCGCAGCCAGCCTGGTTCAGCAGCGCTTCCTCCCATCCCACCGCTGCCACAGGCTGGAGAGAAGCCTGGCCAAAACTGAGAGCCATAATGCAGAGGCTGGTGAGGGAAGACTTCATGCTTATGGCAGGAAACTGCTGAGTGCGTGACTGTTTGTTTTGCAGCACTGTTGTAGCAGGAGCTGACTGATACAGCATTGCCCTGGTTTTGTATTACATCCATCCTCCCCCTGGACCTGTCATACACCTGAGCTGAGACCTGCAGGCTGAGTCTACCTCAGTTAGGCAAAGAGGGCAGGGACAGGCATTTCAGGCAGTGGTTACAGCAGGTGCAAAGGCCCTGGGACAGGTGGGCTATGCCAAGCTGGGAGAAAAGAAGACAAGCCAGAGGAGGGGTGCTGTGTTGACATGTTTAAAACGGGAGCCCTGGACCGCCAAGAGAGGATAGCTCATCCGTCTCTTGCACATCCCTACCACGAGAGGACCCGTGTTCTTCCTCCTTGGACAGATGGGACCTTGAAATTTGGCTGAGAGCTAACCACCCTGACACTCCTTTCCGGGTGTGCAACAGGCAGCCTTCACATCCAGGCTCACACCTTCCAGGAGGGCCACCAGGAGCTGAGTGGGCGCCGGGAACCATGGGAGAGCCCCATGGAGGGGCTCTTAGCAAGTGTCCGGTACTGTGACCGGGATGGCCACATGGTCATCCCAGCTCTCGGACTTCTCTGGCCGGGAGAAGCCAGCACTACAGCAGCTCTTCCCTTTCTTTTCACTTTTTCTTTTTCCTTTCTTCCTTCCTCCCATCTTTCCTTTTTTGGTACTG